GCAAATACTGAACACTTTCTAAGATTTGTCGCAATATTTCACACGAAATGAAATACTCGACACAATCCATGGCTTCTCCTAATTGTCGACCAAATACTTGTGGTTTCACTTCAACAATATTCCGCATATTCTGTGAACAGAACTCCATCTGAATGTAGAGGTGTTTGTCTTCAGGCCATGAGTTGTAATACTGAACACAATAATCTGAACGAACGGCTCCTAAATTCCTGACTTCTTTATAGACTCGTTGTAAGTATTCTTCAGAAAAGTCTAAAATAATTGAAAATAGTTTTAAAAATTATTTTCCATTTTATTATACCTTTAATTTGGACTCTTTTGACGGCATATACGTGTTCATCGATTCTGTGCTTTACTTTATATACGGTTCCAAAACCTCCGGAACCGATGGCCGATAACTCAATGAACAGACCGTTGTAATGGTTTTCATGCGAATTATGTCCCAATTTTGTTACAACTATTTTGTGAATAAAATATATTAATTATAACAAATACAACAAGCAATCATATTATTTATTTAAAATAAAAACAAATAACAAAATACCTTCATTTGTATTAGTATTATATTGTTTTGGTTTAATATTTGGCGTTTTATTTGTTTTCATTACAGATTCAGAGAAATTTGTGACCATGTTCATATTTATATGCAGTGTATTATAACTTAGTTGCCATCCATATGCATAACAATCTACAAAATTATTATATTTAGATTTTTTAGATTTTTTCACTTTGTTTGGTGAAAAAAAGTCCCCAAATTGTGTCATCAGTTTGTATTAATACGATAGGTCGACTAACAAATGAATGCATTTCCTCAATCTGTTGAACGTTTAATTTCATTGAAATTGGTCTGGGTAGTATTTCTATTTGGACTTGTTTTATGTCATCAGTATATTTGCCACAAAAATAAATTATATTACTATTGGATAAAAAACATGTGAAATTATTTTCTATTTTAATTGTCTGGTTTATGTAATTTGTGGAACAAATAGATTTGATATCATTTAACTGTGGAATCAATTTGGGGGTCATAATGTTTTCTGGTGTTTGGTGTCCACATTGATGGTCACTATTGTCCCCCCAACTAAATACCAAACCATTTAAAGTAATTGTGAATGAACTCTGGAGACCACAAAATATATTTTTCATCTTATAATTGTTTTCAAATTGTATCAAAACTGGTGAACACATTATATTATTTTCAAAGTACCCACATCCTATTTGTCCCCAAGTATTGTCGCCCCACCCGTACGCCTTTCCATCGGTCGTGAGCGCCAGGGAATGCCAACCAGCACAACAAATATATGCGATATTCTTGTCATTTAATTGTGATATTAGTTGTGGTTTTAAATAAACCCCTTCTGGTGTCACATCTCTAGCACACTGTCCCTTATGATTTCGTCCCCAACTGAAAACATGGTTCTCCTCATCCATAGCCAACACAAAGTCATTTCCATTGATAAACTGTTGGATCCGTTGTCCAATCAATTCCCGTATAATTAGTGGTGTTTTTACATACATGTCATTACCAAAACCCAGACATCCTCTATCATTAGCACCCAATCCATAGACGGTGTCATTGTTTGTGACAAATAGCATATTATTTTCACCATTTTGGTCATCGAAAACACGAAATAATTTGATTTCATGTTTAATAGTCGTGTCAATCGTATCGCAAATACAAAAATTATCCAAAATTGTAGACATTTTTCACACAAATTACAAAAAATCAAGTTTTATGTTATCAATTTCAAGAATCTAATACCCATTTAAACATTGAATTAAAATTTTTTAATTTTTTTAATCGACAATAACTCAAAATGTCGATCAATTGTATTATCATAAGTTTGGTATTGTTATAGAAAATGTGATAAACTTTATACGATTCCATAGAAATGTTACGATATTATGAGTGTATGATATACCCTGAGCTCACATAAAAACAAACAATTATTCTTATCCAGGTATATTCATTTCTTATGCCACACATTAATATTAATCACTAATAAAATTCATATTTGAATAGTGTTAATTATGAAGGTAATTTGAATAGTATCTATTAACTTTTAGGGTTTTCAAATTTACTAAAATTACTAAATTTGTGAACATTTCTATGGTATTTAATATCTATTGATAACAATGCTGATTGTATTCATTTGATAATGGTCGTAGCGGTGGTACTATTCTGATTCAAATGTAATAAGATTACAATATTTTATTTATTAATGATAATTGTAACTATTTTAATTAATATAAGAATTTTTAAAAATTATTCAAGCATGATTTTGTTACATTTTATAAACACTTATTTATACACTTGAATTGAGCTGGAACAATTGGCTGAGATTATCATCAAGCATAAGATTTTCTTTATTTATCAGGAACCTTTATAAGTATCTTTTTTCACAATATTTAAAAAAATAATTCACACAAATTATTAAATAACCAACCAAGGTACAGTGTTTTATTTATAATTATGATAAATAACTATTAAACTGGTGTAAGATTTTTGTAAATAACAAATTGTAAATATATTAATTTGGCTAAATTATAATAAA